ACTCTTCTTGCTGCCTGCTACCGTGATCCGGTCACTGGAAAAAGAAACTATACTTATTCGGATGCTGTTCGATCCAACCTTGGTGAATTTTGCTGATGTTTTGATCTTTTTGGCAACATGAAAGAAGTGTTCTTTCTTCTTTTTTTGGTCCAAAGGTCTAAAGCTCAATCTTTGTTCTTCTAATTTCAATTTTTCAGGTGAACTTCAGGTCAAATTCTGCACATCTGTTCAGAATGTGGTCCTTATTGGAATTACTATTGGCTACACTATAGCTGCAGCTATAAGCATTGTGTAAGTCTTGAGTGTTTAAACTTAATTAAGAATTTGGTGATGTTTGAGTACATATTATGTTAGTTATTTTAAAATATTCATTGGGCTTATGGTTTTTGTTATTGATTAAACAGGGCAATAAAGAGGTCTAACTGCTACCACAAGAGTGGTGGAAAAAACCCATGTCATATAAACAACAATCCCTACATGATAGCTTTTGGTATCTCAGAAATTGTATTGTCTCAAATTCCCAACTTTGATAAGTTGTCCTGGCTCTCCATTGTTGCTGCAGTCATGTCCTTCACTTACTCAGGAATTGGATTAGCCCTTGGAATTGCTGAAGTTGCTGGTACAAATAGCTACATTTTGCTGCTATGCCTCTAAATCTGAACTTAGTTTTAAGAATTCAAGTAGTTCTAGTAAAGTTGACCCAAGCTTTTTTTTGTGCTTTTGAACACCAGTAAATGGAAAAATCAAGGGAAATATCATTGGAATTACCATGGGCACTGTGACTCCAATTCAAAAGATGTGGAGGACCTTCCAAGCACTTGGTGACATAGCTTTTGCCTACTCTTACTCTGTCATCCTCATTGAAATTCAGGTTTATATCTTCTTCCAAAGTCACAATGCCATACGTTTCGAGGTGATTTATGTATTTAACCAAACATTTACATGTAACAGGACACAATTAAATCCCCACCATCTGAGTACAAGACAATGAAGAAGGCCACTCTACTTAGTTTGACAGTGACATCCATTTTCTACATTCTGTGTGGCTGCATGGGCTATGCCGCTTTTGGAGACTTGTCCCCTGGAAACCTCCTCACTGATAAAGGTTTCCACAACCCATTTTGGCTCATTGACATAGCCAATGCTGCCATAGTGATCCACCTTGTTGGTGCATACCAAGTGTTTGCGCAACCCATTTTCGCACTCGTTGAGAAAACAGCTGCAGAATTTTTCCCAAATAGCCAATTCATCACAGAAAACATCAGAATCCCCATCCCTGGTTTCGGTGCCTACAACCTTAACCTCTTCAGATTGGTGTGGAGGACATTTTATGTGATTGTGACCACTTTGATTTCCATGATCCTCCCATTCTTTAATGATGTGGTTGGATTTCTTGGGGCTTTGGGATATTGGCCACTCACAGTTTACTTCCCTGTGGAGATGTACGTTGCTCAAAAGAAGGTACCAAAGTGGAGCACAAGATGGATTTGCCTCCAAATCCTAAGTCTTTCTGTCCTTGTAATAGCACTAGCTGCTGCAGCTGGCTCAGTTACTGGTGTGGTTCAAGACCTCAAGACCTACAAGCCCTTCAAGACCAGCAGTTGATTTAGCAAAGCCTTTACATGTAGTACCATTCTAGTTTCTCAATGCAAAAGACATGAATTCTAGCAATACCTTATTGAAATTTAATTTCTTGCTATACAATATTTTTATGTCCAACTGAGTTCTATATCATCAATCAATCTGTGCATTTTACATATTAGTGGAAATTATATCCAATAATGACGGTAATGATCTTAAGAAGCTCTTGTATTTCAATGTCAGCTATTTAATTTCACTGTTTGGAACACTTAATTTTTGTTAGCATGAACTTTAATCTTCCTATAAACTTGTACGTTTTTGGAAATCCTTTATGTTAAATCCATCACTAGTTGCCTTGATGCATGCCTACACACATACGTATATGTATGTATTATAAGTTATATATGTTATAGTAATTTTTTTAGTTTTGCCAAAGCTAGGAAGGAGGAAGGGGGTTTTTCCCACACACATTGCAAGAGTGCCACGAGGATTCGAGCTTTAGACTACTGATCTACAAGTAAATACCTTTTTCTGCTAATCTAGACCATGTTAGCTATGTATGTTGTAGTAGTTTGCATGGCTAACATTTGGTTGATGCACAGCCATATGATCAAAAGGCATGACTTGTAAGATCAGAAGTTTTGAACTGTTGCTAGAAGTACTATAAAAACTACATCCCAAAGTAGAGCAACTCAAAACAGTGGCTCCTACTGATCTTGGGGTCCTGGCTGTTTGGAACAAAATAGAAGTTACGTGTGAGAGTTGAATCTCGAAAAGGATAGGAGTGAGAAAGTGCTTTGGTGGGTCACGTTGGATGAAAATTTGGAGTCTGTGGCACCCTGTGGCCTTGACTTGACCCAATGGTGGTTGACGTTTGAGTATTCTTGGGTCTATTAGACCCTGTGGCCTTGCACTTTCTTGCCACAGAATTGCTATATGCACCTCCCATTCCCATTTTGTATGCCGACTTCAATTCTCTGAACAAGGATACTTAGGGCCTTGTCTAACGTTTTCGGAGAGTGTATTTAGAAAATAAAATTGAGAAAATGAATTTATATTTTCAAGAATCGAGAATGCTTTGGTAGCTTAATTAGAAAATATATTCAGAAAATAAAAATAGTGTGTCTGGTAGTACAATTTGAAAATAATAAAAATTAACCAAGGTGGTTTGGTGTGAGTGGTTCGGCACTTTCATTCCTTAAGAGAGGTCAGGGGTTCCATCCCTATTCTCGTATGGAGTCACCACTTTGGCCAGCACTTTACCCCTTACGGGCCGACCCGGTGTGAGCGGGGATTAGTCTGGGTTGTGGTTAAGGCTTAAAGGTGCCACCCATAGTTGGGGACCATCCAGGACCACCTCGCGGTTCAGACCAAAAAAAAAAAATAATAATAAAAACAAAAAAAGGTACAATATTAATTATATAATTAATATGTGAGTTTCATACAAAATAAAATAAATCAATATGTGAGTTATTTGTATTAATATGCCTCCCCCAAAAAGAATGTAATTTTTTTATCTTATAAAAAATAAAACGAACTTAGCAAAAAAGAAAAAGAAAAAAAACCGTACCTCCCCCACCTTCTCTATTTATTTTATTTTATTTTAATCAAATCCCCCTTCTCTTTTAACTCTCTGCAAATCCCACCCTACCCCATCGCACCCACCCATCACAATCGCAGTAACCCAGCAACCCATCTCTCTCTCTCTCCCTCTCCCAATCATCTTCTTCATCACTGCACCGTTAGCACCCAAACGAGATTTTGATGAGCTATCTGTATATAATTAATAACCTTTTGAAATTATTATTTTTATTCAAAATGGAAAGACCCAGGAGGAAATGGAGGGAAATAGTTCTGAGGGTTGGGTTTGGTCGAATGGGAAGTGGAATGATGAGATTATCATTTCAAAAAGCCGACAGGTGAGCGCGTGAATTTAACGTCAAGTTTGACAGAAATTAACAGAATGATCATTTTGATGAGTAGATGATAAATTGAAGGACTATTAATGTCACAAAAAAACCTGAAGGACGATTCGTGATAATTTTGTAAACCTAAGGACCATTTATGATATTAAAATAAAATAAAATAAACCTTCTATTTTTGGTCTTTTGTGTTTCTGCAATTCTTGACTCTTAATTTATTCTGAGTAGAAAATTTGTGTTGGTGTTTGCTAACTTCATCCCATTAATCACATATGTTTACTCATTTCGATTGGGGAGTTATGAATGGAGGAGAAAACGAAAGGGTAAATGATCAATTTTTTTACATGTGTCAAACCATGATTTGCAAGAAGGAGTGTCTCCTTCAAGCAAAGGAGGCAAATCAGTGTCCTAATTATATGCTTGCAAAGTGTTATTGTAACTCAAATCAATGGCTTTTACTGCTTTGGGTCATCACCTTTTGGAACAAAAGGCAAATTGAGTAAATTTTAGTGTTGGAAAGGAGAGCACTAAGAAAGTGCTCTGGTGGGTCAGTAAATTTCGAAGTTTGGGAGAGATTTTTGTGCCTATTTTTCTGGAACGGTTAAATATTATCTCACTCCCATTGGGATTGTGTGTGGAATGAAATTCACTTCTGGTTTTTTTACTAATTACAACTTGACAAGTAAAGTGAGTTACATTTCTTTCTTTCTCTCTCTTTTTGAGCCCCTATGGCGGTCTAGTAAACTTAGTCACACTCACATTAGTCAACAGTAAATAAATTGGATTTATGTGACTGAGTGTATGTTAATCTCAGAAGCAATGACAGTTACGGAAGCTCATAACACGGCTCAGATTCATTAAAGAACAAGATCCATCTGTTTCTCATCCCTTATTTTCTCAGATCAATCTCAGCCACACATCACAGTCAGCTCACTCTAGTCAAAGTATTGTTAAAACTGTTTTAGACCCCTAACAAACTGTAAACCCTATCCCACATCAGCTGCTAACTTAGTTGAACTTGTTAGGGCTGATGTGGTGGCTAAACTAGATTAGCAGTGCCGATTACAGTAATTATTGTGAGAGCATTACTTACAGGACTATATAAGGCTTTTACCAGCCTTCAATATCATAACGTAAGAATTTTCTACAAGTCAAATATATCAGAGTTCTTTTTCTCATACAGCTTCTTCGATTCTTTGATCTGAGTGATATTCATTGAGATTCTGTTTTGCGAAGATTGACTGCCATGGCTTCGATCACAGCAGTAGAGTTATTGTACATAATAATTTAGTTATTCTTTCACTTGTATATATTAAGTCAGTTGTCTTGAGAGAAATAATAAGATTTTTATCAGTTTATCAACAATGTGTTGGTCTTTTTGTAGCAAAGATGGGTGATCACATTGCCAGTGGGATATAGCTTACTTGGTTGAGCTCTTTCACCTACACCCATGTGGCTAGAGGGTCGAAAAACCCCAGGCACCCAATGAATATTTGTGTAAACCCCCGTCCCCCTATCGCTTGCACTAAAAAAAACAAGAAAAACAAAGAAAAATAAAGATATGGGTGATCAAACTGCCACAAGGAACCTGCAGCTTCACCACAACCCAGTTTTTGATGTCTCACTCAATGTGGAAGGAGGCTCCAACTACATTGATGACGATGGCCGCCCGAAACGAACTGGTAAGTTATACTTCTGTAATGGAGTTCAAAGCTAAACTTCTGGTTAAAAGCAAAGCAACTTGACAATGCTAAGTAAAATGTATGTGCTTTGATGTTCATGTTAAATTGTTAGTCATTATCTCTGTGTTGTTTGTGGACAGGAACCGTTTGGACTTCAAGTGCTCACATAATTACTGCTGTGATAGGATCTGGTGTTCTGTCCTTAGCTTGGGCCATGGCTCAGCTTGGATGGATTGCTGGTCCTATTGTGATGGTCTTGTTCTCCTTCATCACCTACTACACTTCAATTCTTCTTGCTGCCTGCTACCGTGATCCGGTCACTGGAAAGCGAAACTACACTTATTCGGATGCTGTTCGATCCAACCTTGGTGAATTTTGCTGATGTTTTGATCTTTTTGGCAACATGAAAGAAGTGTTCTTTCTTTTTCTTTTCTTTTTTGTCCAAAGGTCTAAAGCTCAATCTTTGTTCTGCTAATTTCAATTTTTCAGGTGCACTTCAGGTCAAATTCTGTGGATGTGTTCAGAACGTGGCCCTTTTTGGAATTTCTATTGGCTTCAATATAGCAGCAGCTATAAGCATGGTGTAAGTCTTGAGTGTTTATACTCAATTAAGAATTTGGTGATGTTTGAATACATACTATGTTAGTTATTTTGAAATGTTCTTTGGGATAATGGTTTTCTCTATTGATTAAACAGGGCAATACAGAGGTGTAATTGCAACCACAAGAGTGGTGGAAAAAACCCATGTCATACAAACAACAATCCCTACATGATAGCTTTTGGTATCTCAGAAATTGTGCTGTCTCAAATTCCAAACTTTGATAAGTTGTCCTGGCTCTCCATTGTTGCTGCAGTCATGTCCTTCACTTACTCAGGAATTGGACTAGCCCTTGCAATTGCTAAAGTTGCTGGTACAAATAGCTACCTTTTGCTTCTAAATCTGAACTTAGTTTTAAGAATTCAAGTTGTTCTTGTAAAATTGATCGAAGCTTGTTTTTTGTGCTTGTTAACACCAGAAAATGGAAAAATCAAGGGAAATATCACTGGAATTACCATTGGCACTGTGACTCCAATTCAAAAGATGTGGAGGACCTTCCAAGCACTTGGTAACATAGCTTTTGCCTACACTTACTCTATCATCCTCATTGAAATTCAGGTTTATATCTTCTTCCAAAGTCACAATGCCATACGTTTCTCGCTAATTTTTGCATTTAACCAAACATTTACATGTACCAGGACACAATTAAATCCCCACCGTCTGAGTACAAAACAATGAAGAAGGCCACTCTACTTAGTTTGACAGCGACATCCATTTTCTACATTCTGTGTGGCTGCATGGGCTATGCTGCTTTTGGAGACTTGTCCCCTGGAAACCTCCTCAGTGATAAAGGTTTCCACAACCCATATTGGCTCATTAACATAGCCAATGCTGCCATAGTGATCCACCTTGTTGGTGCATACCAAGTGTTTGCACAACCCATTTTCGCGCTCGTTGAGAAAACAGCAGCAAAAGTTTTCCCAGATAGCCAATTCATCACAAAAGACATCAAAATCCCAATCCCCGGTTTCGGTGTCTACAACCTTAACCTCTTCAGATTGGTGTGGAGGACATTTTATGTGATCATAACCACTTTGATTTCCATGATCCTCCCATTCTTTAATGATGTGGTTGGATTTCTTGGGGCTTTGGCATATTGGCCACTCACAGTTTACTTCCCTGTGGAGATGTACATTGCTCAAAAGAAGGTACCAAAGTGGAGCACAAAATGGATTTTCCTCCAAATCATAAGTCTTTCTGTCCTTGTAATAGCTCTAGCTGCTGCAGCTGGATCAGTTTCTGGTGTTGTTCAAAACCTCAAGATCTACAAGCCCTTCAAGACCAGCAGTTGATTTAGCAAAGCCTTTACTTGTAGTGCCATTATAATTTCTCAATGCCAAACACAAGAATTCTAGCAAAACCTTATTGAACTTTAATTTTTTGCTACAATTTTTTAATGTCCAACTGAATTCTATATCATCAATCATATGGTCCTGTCACTGACATGCCCTTCAAGAAAATATGGTACCTTCACAAGCACCATTGAGAGTGCGGTTTGTTAAACTTCCACTGACAAAAAATGAAACTGGTTGTCAAATCTTAAGAATTACTACTTGGAAAGGTATTTCTAGGTAGATTTGAATATATATGGCGGTCTTCTGAGTTGAAGTAAAACAATTAATTAACTTGCACTTTCTTTTTTGAAATCTAATAATCAAAACTTTAGGCCCCGTTTGACAACTGTTTCAATTTTAGTTTTTAGTTTTTATTTTTTGTGCTAGAGTATAGAGGAAAATGAGACTGAGAATGGGAGTGAGAATGAGATTGAGAGAGAGGATGAGAGGGGAGGATGGGTATTTCAAACGAGCCCTTAATCTTGAACTTTAATTCTGAACATGGATATTTCACTTTTTGTATTGTCAGATTCCCTATTTGGAAGTTGTACGACTACCCATATTGAAAAGGAATTTTGTTCTTACTTGTAAATGTTCATGCCCAAGTAGGCTTACAAACTGATCATGATCAAATGCTTTCTGGGTTGCGTCAGATCAAGCTATCCAATTTTATCCCCCAAAAAATATTGAGACTTTTTTTACATACAAAGAATTTAGTTTATTATTTTGTCCACACAAAAAAAGAAAAGAATTTCTTTTATCCATTCGACCAGACAAAAAGAAAAAGAATTCACTTTGTCTACTTCAAATATTACAACTGGAATAAAAACTGACTTGTGATAGAATCAATGAAATAGTAGTTACTAGACCTCCAAGAGAGGAGGCGAGGCGAATGTGTCCTTTTGACTCAAAGCCTCATCAAGAATATAGGTGGCTCTAAAGGATGAGTCAAATAGTTAAAATAATTATTACTTTCTTATTTAGTTTTACCCATGGAGGTTCTTTTAAATTTATAAAAAATGTTGGGCGTCAAATTGCCTCACACTTTACAACAAGGTATTTTGTCTTTGTCTAGAAGAGGTGATGAATCATTCCTTGAAGCTTGACAATGGTGGCAAGGAAATTTTGGTTTGCTTTGCTACATACCTCATCCCTTGGAGATGCTAATTAAGCAGCTTTGAGAAATTAAGAGTGTTTTTTCTCTGTTATTTTGGTTGGCCTGGAAAAGAAACAATATGCAAATCAATATGATTATAGTTGCATCCGAGGTTCTGTGTTCGAATTACCTATTCTTCAATATCGCTTGTATAAAAAAGAAGCTCATAACACTTCAATTTTGGAGCACAATATTCCTGTTGCAGGCTTAGTGAGACCAAATATCATTGTTGAATATTTATTTAAATTCTGTAGTTTTGTTCTTCTTCTTTTTGTTATTTTTTTTCCAGGAATCTTACATGTTGGAGCCTCATCTTTGGTCTGCTGAACAGGAATTCCAAGTGATTCCTCCCTTGAAGTTAAATGAATTAACTGTTTTTTCAACACCAAGATTATTCATATAAATATTCCAAAACCAGTTAATATCTTGGTTTAATCTGCTCCTCTATTTTCAGCCGCATAACAGCTGGCCAACAAGATGTCTATTTTTTCTTCTCTTTTTTTCTTGAGTACCCAGTAAAAGATGTCAAAATTCCAGTGCTAAATCGAGTGAGTGGTCAAGTTAGTGGGTCTTTTGGTGCAATATGTCTGCATTATTTTAATATCACTATCACTTAAAAATGAAGAAGAAACGTTTGACTGATATATTATTGATAAAAATGCTCTGAATGGGTTGATATACTCTCTCTTTCTCTGTGTGTTGTGGGATGGGAGAACCATATTCATTATTCTTATCTTCCAGTAAGGGATGGATGATAAGCCCTACACGTGGGACAATTTTTTATTCTGATTTCTAGGGTGGTCTTTTAAAGAGAGATTAAAATATCGGTTTTTAGCAGCTATGAATTCTGCTATATAAGGAAGCTCTGATTGATCCAAGATAGGCACAACCAACAACCAAACTAATATCCATCTCTCTGTTGTTGGGTTGCTGCATTTTGCATAAGCAAAGAGGCTTAGCAACTAATGACGGTAAGGATCTTAAGAAGCTCTTGCTTTTCAATGTCAGCTACTAATTAATGGCATTGTTTGGAGCACTTTTTTTTTTTTTTATTTAGCATGAACTTTCTTGCTGCATAAACTAGTCTGTTTTTGGAAATGCTTTTTGTTAAATCCATCACTAGTTGGCCTTGATGCATATATGCACACATATGTATACATATATACGCACAAGTATGTATCACGAATTCATGTTATGGTAGTTTTTTTCATTGCCAAAGTCAAAATATGTGGATATGTGGGTTCGAACCTTATTAGATTATTGGTCTACAAATCAAGACCTCTTTTTACTGGACTATACCTCGTTGGCTATGTTTTTTTAGTAGTTTACATGGCTAACATTTGGTTGATGCACAACCATATAATCAAAAGGCATGACTTGTATGATTACAAGTTTTCAACTGTTACTACAAGTACTATAATAATAACTACATCCCAAAATTGAGCAACTCAAAACAGTGGCTCCTACCAGATCTGGGGTCTTGGCCGTTTGGAACAAATAGAAGTTACGTGTGAGAGTCGAAAGTTTAAAAGGAGAGAGAGGAGGGAGAAAGTGCTTTTGGTGGGTCACAACACTAAAATATCGAAGGTTGGGAGAGATTTTCACAATCTTTGAAGTTCAGTCAAGTTGGATGAAAATTTGGAGTGTGTGTTGCACACAGGCAAATATTGCGTTTGGCGGTTGACGTTTGAGTCTTCTTGGGTCTTTTAGACCACGTGGCCTTGCACTTTCTTGCCACAGAATTGCTATATATGCCCCCACCTCCCATTTCTATTTTGCAAACCGACTTCAATTCTCCATACTTCATTTGGGTTTCTGTAGCTCTTCTTGGGGTGTGTCTAGTGTGACATTCCAAGTGTCAGTTCATTGTGTTGTAGCAGAGAGAGCTAAACAAGCTCATATACTAGGCTTAGATCAATTAAAGAACAAAACCCATCTCTTTGTTTTCCTTCTTTTTTCATAGATTTTGAGTGCATAGAGCTAAAGACTTGTTCTTTTATCTTACACAAATTAAAAGGCCTGAATTTTTGTGTCTTTTATGACAAAGATGGGTGACAATACAAAGAACCAGCAGCTTCATCACCACCAAATTTTTGACGTCTCAGTTGATGTGCCTCCACAAGGAGGCTCCAAGTGCTTTGATGATGATGGTCGTCTCAAACGAACTGGTAAATTTATCTTCTTTACCGCACAAGTATGCTAAAAAGCATTTAGAAGACAGGTCTTTGGCCTTGATCATGTTAAAATTGTTGGTCATTAATCTTTGTCTTGCTTGTTTACCAGGAACTGTTTGGACTTCAAGTGCTCACATCATTACTGCTGTGATTGGTTCTGGTGTTCTTTCCTTGGCTTGGGCCACAGCTCAGCTTGGATGGGTGGCTGGTCCTTCTGTCATGCTGTTGTTCTCCTTTGTCACTTACTACACTTCCACTCTTCTCTCTGCTTGCTATCGTTCCAGCGATTCTGTCACTGGAAAGAGAAACTATACTTACATGGATGCTGTTAGATCCAACCTTGGTAAATTTTGCTAGTGGTTTGATCTTTTTGGACATATGGAAAAAAAAAAGGTAGTCTTTTACCAAAAGTTCTAAGGTTTTGTTTTGTTAACTTTGATTTTCTTAGGTGGAGCTAAGGTCAAAATCTGTGGATATGTTCAGTACTTGAATCTTTTTGGAGTTTCTATTGGCTACACAATAGCATCATCTATAAGCATGATGTAAGTCTGAGTATTTAAAACTCAATTAAGAATCTGGTGATGTTGTTTTAGTGATGTTAAAATAATATTTGGGCTAATGGTTTTTTTTTCTTTTCTGGTATTTATTAAACAGGGCAATAAAAAGGTCTAACTGCTTCCACAAGAGTGGTGGGAAGAATCCATGCCATATAAACAGCAACCCCTATATGATTGCTTTTGGCATCACAGAAATTATTTTCTCTCAAATTCCAAACTTTGATCAACTTTGGTGGCTCTCCATTGTTGCTGCAGTCATGTCCTTCACTTACTCAACAATTGGACTTGGCCTTGGAATTGCTCAAGTTGCAGGTACAAATAGCTAGCTTTGCACCTATTCTTATGATTTAAAATCCGAACTTATTAGTTTTTGGGATTAAATTGGGTTTTACTAAAGATGACTGAAGCTTGCTTTTTCTGCTTGTCAATTGCCAGCAAATGGAAACATCATGGGAAGCATGACTGGAATAAGTATTGGCACTGTGACTCCAATGCAAAAGATGTGGAGGAGTTTCCAAGCACTTGGTGACATAGCTTTTGCATACTCTTACTCTCTCATCCTTATTGAAATTCAGGACACAATAAGATCCCCACCATCTGAATCCAAGACAATGAAGAGGGCCACTCAAATTAGTGTGGCAGTCACTACCCTTTTCTACATGCTCTGTGGCTGCATGGGATATGCTGCTTTTGGAGACTTATCCCCTGGAAACCTCCTCACTGGTTTTGGTTTCTATAACCCATTCTGGCTCCTCGACATAGCCAATGCTGCTATAGTAATCCACCTTGTTGGTGCATACCAAGTCTATGCTCAGCCCCTTTTCGCCTTTGTTGAGAAAACTGCAGCACAAAAATTCCCGGATAGCGATTTCATCAAGAAAGACATCATAATCCAAATCCCGGGAATCGGTCCTTACAACCTTAACCTCTTCAGAATGATTTGGAGGACAGCTTTTGTGATCATAACCACTGTGATCTCCATGATCCTCCCCTTCTTCAACGACGTGGTTGGACTTCTCGGGGCTTTTGGGTTTTGGCCACTCACAGTGTACTTCCCTGTGGAGATGTATATTGTTCAAAAGAAGATCCCAAAGTGGAGCACAAGATGGCTTTGCCTCCAAATCCTAAGTGTTGCTTGCCTTATAATAACCATAGCAGCTGCTGCTGGCTCAATTGCTGGGGTGGTCAGTGATCTCAAGGTCTACAAGCCATTCAAGACCAGCTACTGATTTAGCAGAATTTAACCAACTGCCCATTTATTCAGCATTTCCTAAATCAAGGAAGGAAAGAGAATTGGTCATTGGGGTCAATTCTTGTTCATGTTCATATAACAAAGCATAAATTGGTGTTGTTGATGTTAGTTTTTGTTGCTTAGTGTCTCTGTGTTGGTTTTTACTGTCTTCAAAGAAAGAAAAGGCGGTGCCATGTATGTATTCATCTGAAATCAAATCAAGCGTACTTCCCATTTCCCAAGTAATTTCTCTGATTTTTCAATGCAAATTAGAAGAATTATGGCAGAAGCTTATTAGTCTTAGTTTAAAGATCCAATATTTCATCAATCATATTGCCCTGCCACTGCCACTGATATGTTCATAAGTGGAAAATATGGTACCTTCATAAGAACCATTGAGAGTGCAAGCAAACTGTTAAAACCCCACTGACAGAAAGAATTAAACATGGGAAAATTTAAACCATCCGAAAATTCCTTGGAGTGCATGTGCTGCAGACTTGACAGAAAGAGATGGACCCCATGAAATCATACTTAAACTAATCAGATACTTGTGTGAAATCTGTCCTTTTCTGCTTTCTGGGAAGATCCAAGATAATGGGTTTTTATTACAAAAACTAAGTACTAAGTACTAAACGCTAAAGAGTCAGCTTTTCACATCTAGGCATAGACATCCATTTAACACAAAGATTCAAGAATGTTTTAGCCTTCAGCCTTTCTTGTACTTGATTTACCTCACCAAGTGACCCCAATCAACCTAGCCAATTTAGTCACCTAGCCCAACTCAATATAATTTAGTATGTCCACAAAAATAAAAATGCTCCAACTGTCCACAATTGCAGCAATTGATCTTGGAAATCTGAACAAGGACATCCTTTTGCGAATGTGAATGTGATCCTTTCAAAAAGTGTTAATTTCCTTTAAGATTGAAATTGCATGTTTTCCTTGCACAGCAAAAGGAAGAGTAGTTTAGCTGCGCTGTTTCTGGGGTTTTTGCCCCCCTTTATCATTAAAAAAAAAAAAGAAAAAAAAAGGAAGAGTAGTTTAACTAAAAGAAGTTTCTGTGATGTAGGTGTGAATGTTCCTTTTAGACAAATCAAAAGGGACTGCAGACAAATCAAAAGGGTCTGCGGAAAAATCAAAAGGGTAAAGAAAGGTGGAAGATATATTATTATATAGTGGTTGTGCTCATCAAAAGCTTGACTCTTTGAGGTCATGAATGAAGAAGCTTGGTTTTAGTCATTGCTGATGATAGTGCCGTCCGTTCATCCATATGACAATGCCTAAGTTGACTCTTTGACCCTCCTCCGTGCATATAAGCAGTTGAAGACTTATATAAGTCGTGGTAGTGGGAAGGGGGCTGCTCTTGGCAGCCACCCTAGGGTTGTGGATGGCAAGTGGTAGGGCCTCTATCTCTATCGTCAAATGCTGCTCAAAAGCTTTTCCTTCTCTTTAGCTTCTGCACTTTAGTGAGTTGTGGTGCCTTGTCGGTGGGTAAAGATTAAAGAAAACAAAAGTGTGGGTTTTGTGTTCTAAATATAATAATTTATTAGCAATGGAGAACTACAGAAGAAATTGTAAGATTCAGGAGGATTGTGGAAGGAATTTAGTGTAAAGTTCACTTGGATTAGGTTATGATTTAGTGCAACTAGGCACAAATTTTGATGATGTGGAATTTTCCCAAGTATGAATTCAATTTTCTAGTTAAATAAGAGTGCTGCTATATTTATCCCTGTCATATTACTCCACTCACCTTATTTTTAAAAAAATTAAAGACAAATATATCCTTTTGTAAAATGACTTCTAAGGACTTTAAAAAAAATACCATCAACTCACGAATATTAACCTTCAGTCAAGTTCCATAAAAAAACTTAGTTTGTTGATGTGGTATATATGTGAAGCCCACATATTCAATAATATAGTGCTATATGTATTTAAAATATAATATTTTTAAAAATTCATAAAAATTAAAAAATGAAAAAACCAAAAGAAAAGTCTCCCTCTGTCTCTGCCCTCTCTATTCCTCTCTCCTCCATCTAATATCAACCCAGCCCTAGCCTCGCCCTCGCCCTTACCCGCTCCCATGACCCACCCGCCCCAACACACCAGCGCACCGACCCCCTTCTCTTTCTATTCTAATATCACCTCATGAATCATAAAGTTCCCAAATTCATCACATACAGTATTAAAGGGCAATAACCCAAGAAAGATAAAAAGTGAAGAAGACAAAAAAAATAAATGGGTCTAAAAGAAATGCATCCAAACCTTAAATAAGATTGCAATTACACAAAGTGGAACACAAGTGCCAGGCCCGTTGCATAGAATCTGCAAATCAAAAATAGGTGCCCATGAATGATTTGATTTCAAAATTGGGGAAGGGGTTAGGTGGCTGTCGGGTGGGTGTGCTGGCTATGGGGAGGAGCCACCGTGAGATTGGGGAAGAGCCTCACTAATTTGCATGAATTAATAAAAGGCATTTTAGAAAGGGAGCTGATTTCCATTCCCATTTTCTCCACTTACACTCCATTTTGCTTTTTAATACTTTTTAATCAGTTTTGTTCTTTCCCTTTCCTATTCTATCCTTACCCTACATTAATTTCTTTTTCACTTCACTTTTATATTATATCTTTATCTTTATACTTAATTTTCCAAGTTACACTCCATTTTCAGTATTAAATGGAAAAAAAAAAAACTTAATTTCTTATTCGATTAAAGAAAAAAAAATACTTAAAATGGAGTGCAAGTTGGAAAATTAAGTATAAAGAAAAAGAACTAATATAAAAGTGAAGTAAAAAGAAATTAATGTAGGATAATGGTATAATAGAAAAGAGAAAGAACAAAATTGATTAAAAAATATTAAAAAGCAAGAGAGAGTGTAAGTAGGGAAAATGGGAGTGGGGAAATCATATTCCTTTAGAAATAATGATAGGTGGAAAGAAAAGACTGTGTTTTTTGAAATTTACATCGTGGGTGGGAAGATAAGTTGGTTGAAGAAATAAGACAGTGGGTGAAAGTGAGTGGAAATAACACCACTCTTAAATGAATTTAGATTTTTAAATATGGAGATTAAGCTTGTGCAGATTTAGGTATGAAATTTTCCTGGAATCAATTGATAATCATTGCAAAATAAACTTTACCAACCCCACAAACTGGTGTGACCTTGGAGTACTTTTTATATATAAATAATCTAATCTAATCCAATCAATGATTTTTGTTTCTTTTCTTCTTGTTTTTTCTTTGGTCGTTGAGGAATTAAAGCTTAAAACTTTAGGCCACTGTTTTGCCTTTTAACCCTAGAGATTTGATTTTTACTGCTGCAAAGGATTGGTTTCATGCCACTATTGGTATTAATAGTGGAGCTAATAAGGTGCAAGTGTTGCTGGCTTGGGTCCCTCCTGAAATTGGTGTGGTCAAGTTAAATATAGATGGGTCTCGCAAGGGCAGTGCTGGTGCCATTGGTGCTGGAGGGGTCCTGAGAGATCATTTGGGTCAATGGATTGGTGGCTTTGCTTGTCAATTTAGGCCAGTGAGAAGTGCTTGAAGCTGAGTTGTGGGGTCTGTTTTTTGGGTTGAATTTGGCTGTTGAGAAACAAGTAGATGAAATTATTATTGAGATGGATTCAGAGACTGTTGTGCTTCGTATTCATAATGAGGTTTTGAATGCTTGTCATCCTAATGCTAGGCTGGTCAGTAGCTGTAAGAGGCTTATGAATTTGTTTCGAAGGATCAAGCTTCAACATATCTATAGAGAGAGGAATGATGTAGCTGATGGGTGGCTACTTGGAGTCACAATCTGGATCTGGGCTGTTACTATCTTGAGGAGAGTTCTGCCTGGCTTGGTCATTTATTGCTTAATGATTCTTTGGGAGTTGTTAAGGCTTATCTAATTAGTTCTAGTTGGTTGTTGTGTTGGTGTCTGGGGGTTTTCCCCCTTTTCCTTCATAAAAAAAAAAAGCTTAAAACTTTTTCTTTCAAGTTTCTTGAGCTTAAAGCTTTAGGATGTATTGTTTCTGGGGTAGTTCAGAGAAAAAAAAAAATTGGGGATTCACCTTCCTTGATCCTTGTATTGGACTTCCAAATCGTTTTACGAGGCTTTTGTTTTCTTGATCCTAATTACTAAAAGTCATCAGATTTCTTTATCGGCCTAACCTAACAGAGAATAGGTTTCTAGTCAAAGCTGGCTGTGTGTTTTTTGCCTTTTTTTTGTTTGGTTTTTTTCCTTCTGGATTATTCTTAACGGGTCATGTTGGGTCATTCGTGAATTATAACGGGTCATTTGAATTTGGCATTTTTAACCTGTTAAGTTAATGGGTCGTATCGTGTCAACCCATTAAGTTAACGAGTTAACACAAACACAACTCGAAACCCATTAACACGACCCGTTTCGAGGTGTGGTGGGATGTACTTATTAATTATTTCCAGTACTTTTCGATAAATGATTCATTTACAAGTTTTTGACCAGATGGCTATCCAATATTTCAAAATAAATTTCGAAACAGAGAAGAGTCTGGAATTTGACTACCACCCATGCTTATGAATGTATTCTGCAACTGCAAGGGTTGTCATATCAAAAGGACAATTCAAAGCTGATAATCCTTTAGGCAACTCAAGAATCATCAGGAACTGCTAAATATGGGAAATATTGACAGAAAAACTGTAAATATAAATCTGTATGGTCAACAACTCATTTATATCCCACAAGATAACAACTATAGAAGAACTCAATATCACAACAAAAGGGATGAATATATTGATTTCATCCCACTTTATTTTGTAATATTTCTGTGGCACCATTGATATACAAAACCATAAACATCGGTAGTCCTTACCAGGGATTTTACAGATAAAATGAAGTCTTGTAAATTTGTAATAGACGACGGAAGTGAAATTCGGCCCATCTTGCTTTGTAGCTGCAAACCAGCATTTCCACCAGCACAGCACATGCATCTTCCCTCCCAAAGAGGAACCCTTGTGGATGTTAAACGGATCAAGCTATAAAGAATGAATCATCAAAATTCCTAAAAGAGTTCCTCCTTGTTGAACTTGTTCCAAGCTTCCTGTTTCAGTATAACCATATCAAACATGAAAACAAGCACAACTTAAACGAATAGCAGTCGTTCTAGGGTAAAAGAAAATATCTAAATCCATTTCCAGTGACAACGAATTATGTCAGACAGATCATGCAACATAAATTGAGGGTATGAACACACATTTAATATTAACATAGAAATGAATAATTTTATTAGAAA